TCTTCTTTGTGGCTGTAGTCATTTAACCTCCGCCCCACAAGTACATATACCGCCACCACCCAGCTCTGAAGGCAGAGTGGAAAGCAGCAGCTGCTGGCCAGATGCCCAGCTCTGAAGGCAGCACCGCGCCAGCAGGAGCACAGAAGTAAGGGTGGCAATGTGAAAAGTGATATTTGTCAATATCACTTTTCACAAGAGACATAGCTCCCATTGCCACCCTTCTGCGCTGCTGCTGCTAGCCTGGGGCTGACAGATGGAGCCCTGCTATTTCCGGGTGAGGAAGTGGGGTGTGTGTGGGGAGCCTGAGCCCAGATGGCGGGGCTCTGGCTCTCCCTTTTATCCCCACCTCCTGCGTGAACATGGCCCTTCTGCACCCAGGGCTCACAGCCACAGCTCTTAAAAAAAGCTCACAACTTGGACCTCTCTTGACACATTTCCTCCTGCCCCTCCCTTAGGAGGTCCGCCATATAGTTTAAGAACAGCTGCTTTAGTTGATTCACCTTAACTTTCCAGGTATGTCAGGAGGTGTGACTGCAGCTTGGTGGACAAACCTGAGCTAACTTTGACCTAGCTAGCTTGAATAACAATAGCAGTGAAACCAAACCACACAGCACAAGCTTATGCAGGGGTGGCCAACCTGTGGCTGTGGAGCCACATGCGGCTCTTCAAAAGTTAATATGTGGCTCCTTGTATAGGCTCCGACTCTAGGACTGGAGCTATAGGTGCCAACTTTCCAATGTGCCGGGGGGGGTGCTCACTGCTCAACCCCTGGCTCTGCCACAGGCCCTGCCCCCACTCCACCTCTTCCTGCCCCCTCCCTGAACCTGCCATGCCCTTGCTCCTCTACCTTCTCCCCAGAGCCTCCTGCACACCATGAAACAGATGATCGGGCAGTGCAAGAAGGGAGGGGGAGGCGTTGATTGGCGGGGCTGCCGGTGGGCGGGAGGTGCTGGGAGCGGGGTGGGGGTGGATGGGGCTGCTGACATATTACTGTGGCTCTTTGGCAATATACATTGGTAAATTCTGGTTCCTTCTCAGGCTCAGGTTGGCCTCTCCTGTGCTAGAGTATATACCCATGGTCCCAGACCGGCTTGCCATGACTTGACTCACTGCTTTTGTTACTTGAGCTAGCTAGATCAAAGCTACCTCAGGTAATGTCTACATATGCTGCAGTCACATCTCTGGTTGTGTCCCTCTATGTGTCCCGGTATAGACAAGCACTCAGGCTGTGTCTAAACTGCCCCACAGTTCTAACTATGTTGGTGTGATTAGCAGTGCTGCACTATAACTCTCTGGTGTGGATGATGAGGGCGAGAATGAAAAGGTTCCTACTTTGCCTTAATGTAGTCCTGTTTGAGGAGCACACTATTAACATGGAGTAGGGACATTTTAATTCGCGGTCGCAGTGTTCACAGGGGAGAGTTATAGAGAAGCACTTAGGTCCACACTGATAATCACACTTCCATAGTCCAATGGCAGGGCAGTGTAGACAAGCCCTCAGTGTCTTGGATAAATTCCAATAGAAGAATCATATTTTGCCTCAAAGTTCCACCTGAAGTATCCATTATGTATAGTGTTCATTGTCTCATGAACTAAGTGCTTGTATACTATTAATCTGCATTGGTTAACAGCTGCTGTGTTTCACGACAGAGGTGGTTGTAAGTGATCCCGCTATTACCCTTATTTACGACAAAGGTATCAAGAAGCTTCCTTAATGCTTGCGAAGTCCTTTGAAGAATCTTGGAAGAAAGATGTGCTAGAATGTTAGAAATGACTGAATAAAACATCTTTCATGAATGTTCACTATAAGCTCACTGGGGCTGTACTTGCTCCCATGTAATGTACACTTTCTGCAAACATTGCAGTCCTTTAAGTTTTACTTGCATGAATTGTAATGGAAAGTAAACTTTTACTGGGCACAGTTGCATACTCAGGGGTAGTGACTTTTAAATGCATGGGTGCGGGCACTCACCGTGGGAGTGGCATACGGTAATGCATAGGATGTTACTGTTGACACGGCACGGAGACAGAGCTTTCCAAATCACAACTGAAACAAAAGCAGGTAAGAGATAATGAGGAGCTGGAGTGACTCTGAGGTCCATCTAGAACTTTAAATGTCTAGTTCTGATTCAAGCCTCCCTCTCCCTCATCAAAACAGCAGTACTTTGGGTTCACTTTTCAAACTAGATTAAATATTTGAAGCTCTGTTACTTTTACAATTTCATTTATGTCAGTTTATTCATTATTGATTTTTTTTAAAGTCCAAATAAATATTGATTTTAAAATGTACCCCTAGACCCTAAAACCTATCTGTCCACCTTGATGGCCCTTACCGCTATAGTATCTGAGCACCAGCCATTTCTTTAAAAAACATACATTTTTCACTGTCTCCCTCTTCTGCCACCAAGAAACAAACTTGTGGTGATTTTTTTAAAAAATGAACCAATTTGTGTGAATGAAATAAAGCCTATACGTGCATTAGTCTCTGAATGCGACAACATTAACATTCATATTGATTCCAGCAAACAGTATGCCCTTGTCCATATTACATACAGGGTAGGGTCTATCTGGCCATCTTAGCCCCCTGCTGAAGACATTGGCACTCTGATGCCCCTTGCTTAAGGAATCATAGAAACATAGAATATCAGGGTTGGAAGGGACCTCAGGAGATCATCTAGTCCAACCCCCTGCTCAAAGCAGGACCAATCCCAACTAAATCAAAAGGAAAACCCACTCAGGCTGGGATACTAGCAAAATTTAGTGTGCCAGAGGCCTGGAAGGGACAGGAGGTGACACTGCCCAGTAGGGAGCCAACAGGCCAGATAAGAAGCCTTGCCTGCTTTTTCAGAGACTAGTGCTGGGTGAGAGTCTGAGACTCACTGCTAACCCAGAACCCCAGCGCCTGGGCTTAAAGCACTGGCTGTGACCAGGCAGCTGTCTTTTATGTTTGTTTGTTCAAAGATGTGAATGGCCAGATTCTGAGTTGGTTAATTTTCAACCATTTACACACTTGTACACTGAGTTCACAGCATAGGCTGCCCTGCTCTGGACTGAACTGAGGCAGCACCATGCCCTGAGACAAGGGGGCACAACGGGGTGTGAAGCACTGCTTACAGCATGTTTTTATTATTTTAATTGCTTGTACTACTTTCTTATTTGACAGATGAGCAAAAATTTTTGGCCAAGTTCAACACCAATGGAAGGGGAAAAAATCACCCAGCAGGCATTCACAGGAACCTCAGAGAGGAATAGCAGATTTGGGCTCTGGCTTGTTGGAATCAATCTCAAAAGGCTTACTTTTTGTATAAACTATAGTGAACTTCAGCATGGCCATGGGCCACATTTTAGGACTCCTTGGATTGTGTGTTTGGCATTCCTATTGTATACAGTCTAGACTCAAGGCATTAGGAGTGATTTTTAAAGTTTACATTATGGTATAGTAATGGTCTTAGCCAAATAAAATATCCTTTGTATATTGCAAGTCATGAGCTAGATCATAACTAACACTATTTCCAGCAAATGATAGTAATAGTGAGCACTTTATATAGTGTTTTACATTTGCAAAACACTGTATAAAAATTCTCTAATCCTCACAGCCCTCCCTGTTGGTAGGTAATGTTACTATCCCCTCTTTACTCATTGGGGAACAAACAGTGAAAGGTTAAGTGACAAGGCCACACAGCAAGGACCAAGATCAGAATTCAGGAATTTCTGGCTGACTGCCCAGTCCACTAGACCAGTTTACATCTCTATTACTGAATTTTTACTTGTGAAGTTGACAATGTACCACTTGAGTTTTCGTTGGTTGGTGATGGCCACAATTCAGTTACTAGCCTCACTTTGTGTATATGTTACCTTAAGGGAGGCCTCAACTTGGGACCCTGGCTTGTGTTTCTCCAGCTGGCAGGTCAAGCAACTGAGGTTTCCACCAATTAGTAGCCTAGCTGGCCAAACCTAGCAGCAGCACCATACAGATGTTACAGCAGTGCTTTCCTCTTGGAGCATAGGGAAAGCTGCTTTTTCTGAAGCCTTAGTACATGCAAAACAGACTGACTCAGTGCCCTCAAGTTACTGTGGAAGCAGGGCAGATAAACACAAGCCGGGTTCCTGTGCAATCCAGGCAGCGCCGGGGGCGCACACATCCTTTTCCTGTAGGTCTGACTCCACTCCAAACTCAGAGAAAATCTGCCATGCGTTTTCATAGCAATCAACTCTGTTGTGCTAATGTCACAGATAGGAAATTGACTCATTTTTATTATTTATGATTTAAGCGCCGACAGGCGGCTCTCTGCTGAATCTCGCTGGAAGTTTGATTAAGCATTTCTCATGGTCAAATTGCACAACCTCCAAATCCCCCCTGGGCGCTACTTCCATAGGCAGTGAATGGCGTCATCACACTTTCCTGTGTGGGGTGGGGAGTGTAAGGATTCATGTTGTGTCCCCAGGCGCCCAGCAGCTTGGGGACACAAAGAGGCGCATCCCTGCCCAAATTCCAGCCTGGCTCTTGGCTCACACGACTGAAATTTCCTAAACATAGTTAACAGCGAGAAGAGTTTCTCAGTGTCCCAAAGCACTGCCTCCCCCCCCCCCCCCCATACTGGAACCATTATTTCAGCAGCAGAACACCCCCCCACACCCCCCCTTCCCTCTTTTGTTTGTCTCTTCGCCTTTTTCCTGGCCTCCCTTTTCTTATTTCCTCCTTCTTTCCTATTCCTCCTTCCCCCATTTCCTTCTTTCCCTCTCTGCCTTGATTTCTTTTCCAATTCCTCCCTCCCCTTCCACCATCTCCCGTGTGCCAGCCCCAGCTCGCAGGGGGCTTCGTGGCTGTGTGAGCCCCGGCTGGGCAGAGGGGGAGCCCAGCCCCATCTGGCCCGGGAGGGGAGGAGGCAGCCCCCGAGCTCGGGTCAGGCTGGGCTCGCTGTTGTGCGGGGGGCCGGGCTCTGCGCGGGGCGGTGCTGGCCGCAGGGCTGGGAGGCGGATCCCTGTCGGCTGGGGCTTGGCGGCGAGGCGGGGGATGCGCCGGGGGCAGCCGCTGCAGGAGGAGGAGGTGAGTGTGCACGTTCTCCCCGGGGTGCGCTGCTCTGGGGTCTGAGGAGCCGGGGTGGACCGGGGCTCTGTGTGTGTATGGCGGGGGGCCGGCTGAGAGGTTGTGGGGAGCAGAGACTATAGGGCAGAAAGAGTAGGGAGATACTTGTGTTAGGGATTTCCCTACCCCCCAAAAACTCCGTCATCTCTCTCTCCCTCGCCCCCCCCCCCCCCGTGGTCCACTAGTTTCGCAGTGTTGCCAATTTAGTTGTTTTCCACCCTGCATCCATAAATTCGAACACCCCCTCTGATTTCAATTCCAGGGGGAAACACTGATAGATTGGGGAAGGGGCTGCTTGTGGGAGGAAAATGGGGCTATTCTGATTTGCTTTAAACATCCTGTGTTAAAGGGGCTTCGCCCAAAACAAAGTGAGGAGACTCCAAACGCCCTTTTAAGTTTTTTTTTTTTTTGGAGGGGAGGGGATTGGGGAAGGAATGCTAAGGGGAGACTTCCTGTTAGGGGGAAAACAGAAGACTTAAAAACTCACTCAGATCTTTCCAAATGCCCCTCTGCCCCCCTGCCACTGGATTTGAGTAGTTTGTCCCTAGGGAGGCTCTTGTCTTTTTCTCTTGTCTGGTCCCCACTTTTTCCTCTCATAATTTGTGGTACATTTGATTTAAAGGTCACATGCGCCCCCAAAGGGACCCTTAAATTGTGGGCAGTGCCTCAGCTATGAAAATGGACTAAGGTTCGCTTTCTGTCTGTGCTCTGAGGACTAGTGACTGAGCTGAACAGTTTCCCTCTACCGCCAAGGATCTTTTGCTGGTAGAATGGATGACCCCTGTTGTTTAGAGATTGTGTGATAGGTTCTGGTTTTATAAATGTTTATGACAATACTATAAATAAAAAGTAGCTTCCTTTCCCTCTCATTGGCTCTTTAAACTGAAGTATTTTTTTCCTCTCTTGTTTGTGTTTTTTTCCTCTTCTGCTAGCTAACACAAATTGTTGCGACTTTCCTTTTACTAAACAAAGTTCCCCCTCCAACCCCCCACTCCCCCGACCCCTTCACATCTCATCCTAGCCTGTGGTGAATCCAGACAGTTACATTTGTGCTATCAGCAACAGGCTGGGATGCTATAAACTGAGGCTGGAGTCTTGATTGTACAGTCCAGCAGAAAAGCAAAGCTGGGATGTGAAGGAAGGAAATAGGCTCTTATTCAAACACTGATCTCTTACCATACCTATTAGCAGGGAGGGCACAGAGCAAGACTAAGTCAATGACTCTTTGTTTTTTTTACTGTTGGTTTTTTCAAGTTTCCTCCAGTGTGGCAGTAACTCTTTAAAGCCACCCTGCTGTTTATGGCCGTAGCAGGGGGTTTCAGTTGGTGAGCAATTCTGTTTAGGCACAGCTATAGTTAAAGAATGTGAATCCAGCATGAAATCTGATTGTCTTGAATTAATCGTGACTTTTAAACTGGATCGTCACTGTCAAATTTCGGACTCCCAGTTGTACCTCTGCCAGAGGTCATGGTGAAGGCTGTGGTGGGTTCTAAACTCTCCCCATGGAGATGCAGCCTCAGAGATTATGTTTGTAGCCCAGCCCCCTCCCATAAAACTACCCACTAGCAATAGAAGCACAGGATGCTATCCCAACATGCTGAGAAATTTCTTCGTGGCTGGCACTGTGGAGTGTCAGGGGTGTGGACTGCACTTACACTCTTTGACTTGGCAATGGTTTCTAAGCAGAACCTCTTACACAGATATATTATTGCAACTCAAGACCAGCTGTGTAATATTGCCATTCAGAACGTGGATGAACACGTAATGATCCGCTTATGGCACGTGTATGCTCCATTTCAGGGACAGAGGGGTAGGAGGCAGGCAATTTTACCTGTTTCCAAACTTGGCCCTTACTTGCATCTCTGTTTAGGTCCCCATCCCTGCCCCAGCATGGTGCCGATTGGGGGAAGAAGGAATGGCAAGGAGAAATGCTCTGTATCCAGCTTGATACTGACTGACTGACTGTCCTTTCTGAAGTTCAGTGTATATCTGTACACTGCACATTTCTTTTTAGCACAGTATGTTTCTGTTTTGCCAGCCACATGAAAGAAATAGGAGGATGTCCTACTGGTATTCAAAGCTACTTGGAGGATGTAAACCTTATGTGCTGAGGATTGCAGTGAAAAGTTTCAGAGCTATTTGTTTAGTAAATGTGCATTTGAGTAACTTCACACTTGAGAGAAAGCTACATACCTGATAGTGTTATGCTAAACTGTGTAAATACATCTTGAAATTATATAGGATCCTTATGAGGACTAGGTGAGGGACATATGTATAAGAGGTAGTTATCACAGTTTAAACCAATATTAGCTTAAAACCCCAATTATTTAAAGTGGTATATGGGGAGAAAGTGGGGGCAGACAGGTGATGCAATGAGTTTGTAGAGCTTTTAATTTTGAAGGCTGGAGTAAAAATGTTGATGTGTCACAGGTGAACATGAACTTTAAGATCTTACTCTAGTTTCTTCTTCTTCATGCTTTTATGACCACTGATCATGGTCCAATTCCTCACAATTGGTACTTAAAGGAGAGCCAAGCCTAAAACAGCAGTGTCTTGTAGGTGTTGATTAAAGGGCACTGGCAAAGCGGTGTGGAAGGGCAGACAGGGAAGATGGGTTTTAGCTTTCAGGTTATGGGTACACTGAAAGAGAGGGACAAGGAAATCAGGGAGATAAAAAAGGAGGAGGTAACCAAAGCAAGTGTTCTAGCTGAGAGAGAGAGGCAGAGAAGAATGGATGGATATTTTTCAAAATGTTATGGAGAAAGAAGTAACAGGAACTGGTGACCACCTCGCTGTGTGGGAACAGAAGGAGGGATTGGAAGTAATAACAAGGTTACAAAGTTGAGTGACTGAATAGTGGTGGTTTCAGAGTAGCAGTTGTAGCCCACGAAAGCTTATGCTCTAATAAATTTGTTAGTCTCTAAGGTGCCACAAGTACTCCTGTTCTTTTTGTGAATAGTGGTGGTCTTGTCAATAACTCTGAAAGAGGAGGCAGGGAGGGTGATGTTATGGTAAGGTAAAGATTAGCTCAGTTTTTGCTCTGTTGAGTTAGTGAGACATCCAAGAGACACATCAGAAAGGCAAGTGTGATAGTGGCTAGAGAGGCAATTTGTCCTAGTGGATAGTCCAGTGGACAAGGAGTCAGGAGACCTAAGTTTCTATTCCCAGTTCTGTCAATGGTGTGTTGTGTGAACTTGGGCAAATCACTTTGCTGCTGCTTCCCCTCCCACTATTTGTCTGTCTTTTCTAATTAGATTGCAAGTTCTTTGGAGGTGGGGGCTGTCTCTCACTATGTTTGTACAATGTACAAGGTTGGTTCCTCCAAGTCAATGGTTCTCAAACTTTTGTACTGGTGACCCCTTTCACATAGCAAGCCTCTGAATACGACCCCCTCCCCTTATAAATTAAAAACACTTTTTTATACATTTAACACCATTATAAATGCTGGAGGCAAAGCAGGGTTGAGGTGGAGGTTGACAGCTCGCAACCCCCATGTAATAACCTCATGATCCCCTGAGGGGTTCTGACCCCCAGTTTGAGAACCCCTGCTCTAAGTGTTACTGTAATACAAATACAAATTATGATAACGGAAGTGGTGAAGTGAATTACAGCTGAAATCGTGAATTGAGGTTGCCCATTGATGGGGGAAACTGAAGGACAAGACGTGGAGGAACTGCCATGGAAATAAGGGCCCCAGAAATCAAGTGAGAAAAGCAAATCAAGTGCAGTGATGGATTGTGGGAAAGGTGACAGAAGAATAAAGGAGGATGAAGATGAAGAAGGCCTTAGACTTGACTACAAAGAAATGGCAGGGGATTTTTGTGAGGAGTCCTTTGTTTTAATAGAAAGAAGATAAAATCTAGGGAATCTTAAGGAAATATGAGAAAAAATTGTGGGAGTGGTTAGAGGAGAGGTATTATCAAGGAGCTTAGAGGGAAAATAGAGTAAGGAAAAACAGTAGCTGAAAAGGTCAAGGTATTTTGTTTTGTTTTTTTAAGGACAAGGGAATACAAGATACTGCTTGAACACTGAAGGGAAGGAGCAAAGTCCACCAGGAGGAGTTGGGAATGGGGTTTTGGGTGAGCGGGAAACAGAGGGTGGGTCAGATGTATATAGGGGAGTCCACTTTGAAATCAGAGACTGGGCTAATGAAGCAAAGAATGTAGGGTGGGGAATACAAGTCACTTTGCAGATCATGTCTGTTTCTTCTCCACTTGAGGATCCCAAGAAGAGAGTTGTGGAAAATGTGCTGGTGATGGTGTATGACTCAGTATTGTGTTTAATGCAAGTAAAATATACTTGTTTGTTCCATTTTAATTTGTGAGTACAAGCAGTTACTTCTGCTGTGCACTGGCAATACTTACAGCACACCTGCCTTCAAACCAACTATGGTGCCCTTAGTCTTAAATAAAGAGCTCTAAATTGATACCCTGTACAGTGGGATTCAGACCAGGTGGTGCTGGAGAGCCCTGATCCTGAGTTCTGATCTGGATAGATGTGCCCACACAAAGTCGAAATGAAGAGTGTCATTCCCTCTGAAACCATGCTGTCTTCCGCCCACGGGGACTGCAGTGCAGGATTGGAGCATTAAAACATAAACTTGGTCAAACTGAACTCCTTTTTTCCCTGCCCAAACATCCTTTGTAGGTTGAATGAGATTTGCATTTAACTGTTTTCTTACCTGCCATAAATATTTCAAATGGTGTAATTACTGGCATGATGGTCATCTGCCCTGCTGGATGTGTGTTAACAGAACAACCTCATGAGTCCTTTGTAAAATGTAGCTGTATTCATTAAGATTGACCTGTATCACAGTTAAGGAGCACAATAGCAACAGTGCATCTTGTCAATTTCAAGCCATTATCACTATAACTGTAGTAATCTGGCTTGTAAAGCTCTTTTGATGAGAAGCATTTAATGGGGGACTGTGTAAGCTGCTCTAAAAATGCTGGAAAATGAAT